GGGGACAACATCCTCACAAATGTTTTTGGTTGGATAAAGTTTAGGGGCAACTTTGGGAAATGTAGTTGGGGGTGATTGATGTTGTAATCTTTTTCAAGTTGTGTAGTTTTGTCCGTTATACTCTTTTTTGTCATGTCTTTTTCTTTTATAGGTCGTGACCTTTATAATATCCGCCAGTTCCAAAAAAATGTGGGTTTAAACCACAAGAAGTTTATTAAACTAATTAAGCAAAAACCTCAATTTCATTGGTTACTTAGCATAGGTAATTAAACCTAATATCATTCCTTTCCACTTTTACATATGAGTTCAAGTTATTGACCGACATAATCATTCATCTAAATTCATGATGTTACATTTCATGCATATAACGTTACCAATTAATAGTCAAATAGTAATCAAGAGTACTAGAGTATATAATTAAACCAAAACATTTATCAAATAATTAGGTAATGAGTAAATATAGTATTGAAAAACTAACGATATTAGACACTTCGAATTTTGAAATGACCAATTAAAACATAAGATTTCATAGAATTTTTTTGAAAATTACTTAAAGCAAATGAGAAAAAAATACATTATATATTTTGAACGTCTATAATATGCTTCACTCCCTACTTGAGACCATCATTTTGATAAATTATAAAAATGGTACAAAAAACAAAAAATCTCAACAAAAAATATGGTCTTTTTTTCTGGCAAAATCTCTATTATATATCATCAAATATCTATATAAACTAAAGTGGTCTATTTTGTTAGATTATGAGGGAGGGAGTGGGAGAGAAACTTCCCTTATTTTTTGTAGGCCACACCATTATTTCCCTCACTTTCCTTTCCCTCACCTAAAAGGCTAAAACCCAAGAAACGGGTGGGAAGCTTCCCTCGTTATTTTTTTTTAATAAAATTAATTGATTTCTATGATTTATAATTTTTAAAATTAAAAACAACCAAAAAAAATTAATTAAAAAGAAAATTCATTTCATTTGTTAAAATAAAAATTACAATAAATCTAAAATTTAAAAAAGTTGGAAAAAAACACAAACAAAAAAATCAAACAAACCAACAACCTAGGGAAAATATTTTTTCATAATTTTTTCCCTCTTCTTCATCACGAGCTTGAGAACCGGTCCCAAGAGATGGTCGGTGTTTTCTATCACAAACTTCATATCCTCCATTTCTTGTCTCTCCGTCTGCTCCTTCTTCATTGCTTCTTCTTTTTGTTTGTCGAACACCAAACGTTCGGAGAAATTAAGATTATATCGATCAAACGACGCTGTTATTTTTTGCATTTTGTCAAGGCCCATGCTGAAATCCGATGCACCCAAAGAAGTCCCTTTTCCTTCCTATTTGCTTTGTCCCTACCCATCGGTTGGACAATTTCTTCTAGCTCGAGTTCGACCTCTTGATTTAAATCTAGACCGACCCGAGCATCGGAGGAAGTTGTGTAAGCACTAGAGCCTGTGTAACATCCCAAGATTTTTCATTTGTAGTCCCTAGGGATGGAAGGGTAAAGCCATGAAGAGCCTAAGGGCTAAATTGTAATTTTAGGACCAGAAGGAGTACGTTACGCGTACATAAGGGTACACGGAGCGTACTAGGGCGTGCCCTAGTACGCTGGGCGTACACTTCTGTACGTTGGGCGTACTCATATTTGAAGGAAACCTTAATATCTCGGGTTAGAGGATATATAAACATCTTTATGGTTCATTTTCTAACCTCCTTCTCAGCCTCCATCTTCTAGAAACGTCCCTAAACCCTAGTTCTTATGTTTGAGAGTGATTTGGTGGGTATTTTGAGCTCTTGAAGGTGAAGCCATTGCAACAAATAGTTGAAGAAGGAGATTAGCTTGTAGATCTGAAGTTGTGTTGTGACCTAGAAGCTCCAGGAGGTAAAAAGCTTCAAAATTTATGTTTGTAGGTCATAGATCTAGCCTTTCTAGCATTATGGAACCATTTGTTGTCCCAAATACCCTAATATGGTGCATGATGCATTTTGGACGAGATAAGTTGTCCTTTCTAGACCTTGAAGAGGTCTCAAGTGTTAAAAATGAGGTCCCAATGGCTTAAGATGTCCCATACATGGTGTAGAAGGATCTTAATGGATTAAGACCTTGGATTAAGAGCTTTCTGGACGTCCAAAGTGATAAAGTTCGAGACCTTATGAGTCCTAGGCACATTTTGTCATTGGATCTGGAGTTTAGGCTTAAGTGCTTAAGCCATTAAGCACTTATTGGGGTTTTGGTGAAACCCTGCGTACGCCCAACGTAAGGTTTTGTACACCCAACGTAAGGTTCTGTACGCCCAGCGTACTAAGTTAATGACCCCATGTTCCAGTCAATGCGATACTCGTGTACGCCCCGCGTAGCCTTGGGGTACGCCCATCATACGCCTTCTGTGGACATTTGGTGATTTTTGGTTTTGGGTTTGGGCTAGTTGGTATTGGGCCTTTGCTGGACTTTATAAATATTATGTTTTGGACCAATGGATCATGGGGTTAAGCACAATTAGGAAGTTGGGCCCAATTTAGTAAATTGGACCACTAATGGGCTTTGCATAAGGACTTTCAAGGTTATGGTATTGGCATTGGGCCTTGGCCCAATAAAAAGAATGGACATCATGGATTGTGTGGACCCCCTTTAGTCAAGATTGTTATGTCGTGTAATGACTTGGTATTTATGTGATAGTTTGGGATTTTCGGTAAGACAGTGATCAGAGGTTTTTGGTACTTCGACACTGCTTGCGAGGTGAGTTATCCTCACTGTACTCAAGAGTCTAAGGCACCAAGGCCGACCATTTGATTGGTTATTTGTGGTTATATTATTGTGATATGTTAGCCCAATATTCTGGTAGATAAGATGGTTATATGCTAGTATGATCTGTTAGATCGTTATCCTGGTAGATCGGATGTGGTTATGCTTAGTGACCTATAGTTTGGTCTGACTGTCTATATGTTGGTAGGACATTACCTGTTATATGTGCACATGAATGATTGTTACTTGAGGTTATTCCATCCTGAGGATGATAGGACCCTAGTATGTTGTCCTTATAGACTGTTATATGATTGTCTGATATAGGTTCACGTGTTTGATTGGTTATTGTGTGGGGGCATTCCAACCCGATGGTTGTGGGCCGAGAGTATTCCATCCCGAGGATGATTGGACTCATAGTATGTTGGCATTCCAACCCGATGGTTGAGGGCCTGGGGTATTCCAATTCGATGGTTGATTGGACCCATAGTATGTTAATATTCCAAACCGATGGTTGAAGGGCCTGGGGTATTCCATCCCGATGGATGATTGGACCCATAATATCTATTATATATATATATATATATATATATATATATATATATATATATATATGTATGTATTGTGTGTGGGCATTCTAACCCGACGATTGTGGGCCGAAAGTATTCCATCCCGAGGATGATTGGACTCGTAGTATAAGGGCATTCCAACCCGATGGTTGAGGGTCTGGGGTATTCCATCCTGATGGATGATTGGACCCATAGCATGATGTTTGTTAAAGTATGTGTATCGTTGTGTGTGTGAGTGTTTTGGGGGTAACTCACTAAGCTTTCAGGCTTACAGTTTCAGTTTATTGTTTCGGGTTCAACGGATGACCGCGGGAAGGTGAAGGCGTGACCGTACACTTCCTTGATTTATGATTGTGATCTCTGGGAACTATGATGCTTAAACTATTTTGAAAACACTTTGTAATAATTAATGGTATTTTGGATATTTAACAAGTTTTTTTTTATTAGCTTGATTTTTTTTTATGGATGTTACAGCCCGTTTTCGTTCGCTTTGATTATTGGACTCCAAAAATAAAATATTGCTCATATTTTTTCCACCTAGGACATCGAACCAATAATTTCCAACAATCGTGCCAGTTGAATGGTTTTCCGACTTCCTCAAGGTAAAATTGCAAAGCTTCTTGAAGTATTTCTTCGTCGCATTGACCGCTTTTTCATTGAGTTTCTAGGTTTTTGTACACCCCGTTTATTTTTGAAACCCCTTTGCTATTTCTTGAAACTTCGAATTCTGTTGGTGTTTCGTACGGTAGTCGTCACATTTTTCTAGCTCCTCCCAAAACCTTTCTAAAATGCGAAACCAAAAATGCTCTCCTGGTTGTATATTTCCATGAATCGAATCCTCAGAAATGTCAGCCCAAGCTTTTACCAAAACTAGCTCTTCTTGTGGAAGTCATGTTGTCGGTTTTTGTCTTCCAGGTTGTGCGATACCCTCACACGCTTGTTTTTTCTCTTTACGTCGTTGTGGGGGTGGTGCGGGTTGAGTTTCGGGAACCATCTCTTCTTCTTCTGAGTCATCCGACTCATCAATAAGTTGGTATTATTGTTGGGTTTAGGTTTGAGTTTGAGTTTGGGTTTGGGGTTAGGTTTGGATTTGAGGTTGATTTGGCGAATGTTGATCGAGAAAAACAACAAAGTTTGAAAACATTTGTGGAGTAACATTTGGAACTTGGATCGAGTAATATTATCTAACATTTTTGTATTGAAATTGTAGTGGAGATTGAATGAGAGCATCGAGTTGGGGACGATAAACTCTTTGTGATGATGAATCGATAACACAAACGTTTCGAGTAGGGGTGCTTAAACTCGAAACATGAGTTTTTTTTTGCTTCGATCGGAAGTCGGGATTTAATTGTTGGGATTCATTTTTTTTTTTTGAAGAAAATAGAGGTTGCAGAGGGTTTGTTTGAATGTTGATTGAAGGTAAATAGTTATGAGTATTTATAGATGTTTTAAAGGATTAAAAAAAAAAGAGTTTTAATGCATATAGCTGTTGGTAAAAACAAAAAAGAAAAAAAAATACCGTTAAAAAACGGATACTTCAAAAATAAATAAATAAATAAATAAATTTCCACCAATCGATGAGGGAGAGAGAAAGCGGCAAGGGGTTTCCTCACCAGTTCCCGCGCTACCCTTTCCCGCACTGACTGTGCGGTGTTCCACCGGGCGGGAATTTTCCTGGTACCCTTTTCCGCTTACATTCCGTCCGGCCTTATATTTTTAAACGTCTCGTTCTGTTAAAAACTAGCGTTACCAACTAGCGATCGTTCTCCTTTTCTTGTCATTTGACTGTGATCAATTAATTAATTCTCTAGACATCTCACCCCTTTCTTTTGTTTACTTTTTACTCATCGGCTTACATTTGGCCATAGACAAACACTAATTACATTGAAACAAAACAACCACCTTTGAAGTCGTAAAATCAATAACATGATAGTGATAGTTCAAACCACAAATGACTAAATGTAGATATACAAGGCCATCAAAAATAATGTGTAAAAACAATATGTAAAAACAGATATTAATACATTTTTGTTTGAAGAATAAATCTTAAGAATGATTATATTCATTAATAAGGAATTCAATTAACCCGAGGCTGATACAAAGGATGTAATGAATTGATTCAACGAGTGAGGAGCTTCAAAATTTATTGCATGCCCTACATTCTTAATTATCTCTATCTTCGATTTTCCACCCAAATGCCTGTTTTAATTTTTAAATATATACATGAATGATCGTATAATTTTTTTTTAAAAGTTAAAATGACAAACTGATAATTTTATGTTAGTTTTTAATTAAATAAACCTAATCAATCCAAATAAATAATTATTAATAAAAGAAAAAGAAAAAGAAAAAACAAAAATACCTATGAAGCTGATGTCCCCAATCAAGAGGGAAGACCGCATCTTTATCACCCCATATTAGAAGCGTTTCCTTCACTCGAAATAAAACAGAGAGTAAATTAAAATAATATAATATTTAAATTATGTTATATAATTGTTTATCTTTTCAGATACTTAAACATCGATCTGATCTTGACGATTTAGTATTAAAAAACTGGTCTACATCAGATATCAACATAATCCAATATAAAAGATATACATATTTTATATGGGCTATATTGTTCTAAGTTTTTCCAAGGTTGTAAATAAATGTGATATTAATTTAATAGTAATATTTGATTGTTTGAAAAATATATAAAAAAGAAGAAAAAAGAAGTCATATTCATACTACTCAAGGAATTCAAGTCGTCCAAACCTGTGTGAGGACTGGATAAACAATATCGGGCTTCTCGTTGAGCAAATCAAGTACCAGTTCTTCTTTTTCCTTCATGCAACATTCAAACTGCAAAAGAATCGATCATGAACCTTCATATATGGCGAATGAATGATACTACTATATACTAATCAAAAGTATAGGAAACATATGTATATTTGGATGAATTTGATTCAACACTTACAGCAATAAACCCCCAAAGAAAGAAATCCGGAATCCACCTACCGACGTCGTACCTTTGAATCGTCATCTGGCACAATACCCGTAAATCCTCCGGTGTCTTAGGCACCAACAAATCCACCACGCTCCGCCCTATCTTTTTAACATGCTCCAATTTCCGATCCTGCTTACACACAATCCCACTACTAACAATCACCAATTTCTCCACCATTTCCTCATGCTCCTCCGCCATCCGGTAGCCAACAAATCCCCCATAACTGATGGCATACACGGAAAACTTCGCCACTCCCAATTTCTTCAACCCATCGCACACACACTTCGCCTGAAACCTAACGCTACGATCCGGTATACTAGAGTAGGAATCACCGAAGAATACGAGATCCGGTATGTAGACGTTGAAATCACGTGTCAGCTGAGTTACTTGCAAAATGAACTGCCATTTGGAATTTCCCCCAAATCCATGGATGAGTACAAGGTTCGGCTTGTTGCTGTTGCAGTGTTTGGCTCCCCAAATGTACATCGTGGTTTGGTTGTTGTGGATGTGGACGGTGGATAGGGAGAGGCCGCAGTAGCGGAAGTAAACGGATAAAATGGCATCGGCGAAGGTCACCAGAAAACGGTTGACGACGCCATCCCACGATTGTAGCGAGATGATTTTCCGAATGAAAATGAGAGGATGCAGCCACAGAGAATACATGGAAGAGAACATGGGGAAAATGGGAAGGATACTGAATGATGGATGAATATAAAGGGCTACGCCATCCTTTTCGAAATAGAAGTCACACTTGATGAAAACCAGCGGGAACCATTTCGCGTGATATACTATTAATGTTTGAGGACTTAAAAGGTAATTATTATAAATCCATGAACTTTATTTATTTTCATATAATAAGTTAAAATTATATAATATAATTAGAACCCGAAAAAAAAAAACCCAACTCCATATAGAAAACTTTTATACATTAAAGTGTAGATGCTTTTAGTTAGATAGAAAGAAAATTAAAGTGTAGATTGACTTAAGTGTTACTCATAACTTTATAAATTGTAATTGTATATCATGTTAATCTTTGAATTGGCATTGTTGATCGTATGTGAGAGGTGATTGGATAGGGAAAAAAATTCGATGTTTATTGCTTATTTCCACCACAATAAACTAAGTTTAAATGTTTGGATAAAAATCCTTAAAAATTATTATGGTAAGGATAGACTAAATAAGCTGATTTTAATAAATATATCTCATATTGTTTATTGCTTAGCGCTTATTTCCACCGCAAATAAACTAATAAGTTATAATCTAATTTATCCAAACACCCCCTTAATATTTGTTGGTTATGAAAATTATAACAAAAGAGGAAAAAGTAGTGACGATTCAACTAGAGGGTCGAGGCTACCAGTTTTGATGGAAGATTTACCATATAATTCTCAAGATTAAATCTATATAGGTTGTGTTTGGCGAGACACAATATCAGCTAACTTATTTTTCGAGTTTTTTTAAATTGATACTTTTGCAACTCAAAAAGTCGATAAGTTATTTTTTTTAAAACTATTTAGACTTGCTTTTCAGGAGTTTTTAAAATTTTTCCGAACATACACTTAAATAGTTATCGAAAACATATTCTTTTAAATGTCATTTTATATTTTTCATCTATTTATCAGGTAATTTTGACCAAACTTGATTTTTGGTAAGATAAATTATAAGCTAACAGTTAACTTTTCAGCTACCAGCTAACCTATATATATATATATATATATATATATATATATATATATATATATATATATATATATATATATATATATTCTTTTGTGATTCCATGTATTCATTTGTGGAAGAATGATAAATTTTTACGCTTTTAATTTCAATTGAAAAGAAAAAACATATTCATATTGATTGTGCATAAAAATTTATCATTTCGCCACAAATTAATACATGGAATCACAAATGAATATATTTGTTCTCGCGTTCTCAGCATTTTAGGTGTTCTCATTTGATCTTTCATATATATATATATATATATATATATATATATATATATATATATATATATATATATATATATATATATATATATATATTCTTAAAAGTTAAAATGCATGAAAAGATACGATAAGTTTTCCTTTTTAATGTATAGTGAACAATTTACTTACTAATTTAATTTTTTTTATGTATATATTTTTATTAATTTAAAGATTTTAGATATATATGGATACAAATATACCAAAGGGTTTCTAGCCTAACAGTATCAGGTGGTGTTCTCCCTCTTTGAGGTTGATGGTTCAAATCCCGTCGTGGACAAATGTGAAATTAGGTGTTACTTTAGGAGTAGATTAGGCCTGGCAATCGTGTCATGTTCGGGTTGGCGTGGTTCGGGTTGGCGTGTCGTGGGTTGGCGGGTCAAAATATGTCAACCCAAACACGATCCATTTAAATATACAGGTCACGGGTTGGCGGGTTTGGAACATAAACTCATATATGACCCACGAACCCATTTATTTATACGGGTTCACAGGTTAGTGGGTTTGTGGGTTAGATTTGGGTTCGTGGATAAGATTCCATAAATAAAATTAACAATTAAATATGAATAAATTTTTGATGGTTGATACAAACATATCTAAATTTTAGACACTTAACTACTTAAGTCTTAAAGTCTTAAACATCCAAATGAAAATTAAAAACATTCATAGAAACATGTTCAATGCCTTAATCGCTCATACATCCATACGCCGATATGCCATTTGATTTAGGGAAAAAACGAGGAAAATCAATTGGTTACAAACTTACTTACGATCTTATGAATTAGGACCACAAGTCAAAATATAAATACATTTAAAAATAAAAAATATTTTTTTTAATTGAAAATATAAACGGGTTGGCGGGTCAACCCATTTATTTTTTGAGAAACCCATATATAACCTGTTTAATAAACGTGTTGGCAGGTTGGCGGGTTGGCGTGTTGAAAAACTCAACTCAACCCGTTTATTTCGTGTCGTATCGCGGGTCGTGTCACGTGTCGTGTCGAGAATTGCCGGCCCTAGAGTAGATTAGTATATTTGTAGTTTGCCGGTTAAAAAAAAAATATGGATACAAATATATATTATCATAAAAGGTGAAGATTTATCATGCATCAATCAATCTTCGTGAGGAACTTATGATGGTCTAATGTAAGTACAATAACTAAAAACAATAATCATGTGGAAAACAATATTAAGAAATGAGATATTTTATCTGTAATATGAAAAATAATAAAATTTATGTATTATAAAGGTAACAATTTAAATAAGTACATAGATTTTATGAAATAGTAGGATGACATATATATATATATATATATATATATATATATATATATATATATATATATATATATATATATATATATATATATATATAATGAATACAAAACACAAGGAATCTAGACCATTTGATTTTAATTATGTGAGAGAATTAGTATCAATGTATGATATTATGGTTTGGTAAACAAATAAGAAATATTTTATTTCTGCTTTGAGACTTGAATGATATTTACTTTATAGTCATATAAGCCTTCATTTACAATCTTCAAATGTTTATTATGCACATCACTAAACCCTCAAAGCATCTTTCATGTCTCTTTAATTCCATAATTTTTTTAAAGACACAATTGCAAAAGTGGTCACTGCGGTTCTCATTTTTTTTTATCAAACCCCGATGTTTTTTGGTTTTGTTGTCCTTTTGGTCATGTTTCTATGTAGAAATTGCCCCACGATTTAACCCCCGTTAAGTTGTTGCTGTTATCCCCCTCGTGTGCCTCCCACGTGAGGGTAATATCCGTCTTTTCACCTTTTAGGGACCATTGTTACAAATCAGTTGTCAATGCCTAATTTAAGAAATAATCTCATTTACGATCCCAAAAACGTTAACTCTTCACCTCCCTCACTCTTTCTTCTCCACGTTTATATATGGACTCGCAGAGTCCATATATGGACTCGCCGAGTTCACTGGCAACTCGACGCGTCCAAGGTTAGCTCGACGAGTCGGAGTATCAAATGCCAGATTTTTCGGGTTTTTGACCTATTTTGCTGTGGGATAATTACCAAAAACGTTTTTCATTAATAAAATCTAAATTTTATCAATATTTGGTGATTATCCTTACCAAATAGAAGATAATTGTCAAAATTAAGATAATTACTTGTTTTATAAGACAAATATTAATTATTTGTAATTTGTTTTTGAATTATCTTGTAAGAAATTGAAGTTATGTCAAATTTAAATAATTACCAATTATTTGTATAATTTAATTATTTGTAATTTGATCTAGATAGTTTTGAAACGTTTTAAAACTTACCCTCAAATTTAGGAATTTAAATTTTTGATTAAAAGCTTAATTTGAAAATATTTAAATTCTAAATCCTAATGTTTTGAAAAAGTTCAAAACTTGCCCTCAAGTTTTGGAATGTAAATTTTTGATTAAAAGTTTAATTTTGAAATATTAAATTCTAAAACTTTAAGTTTTGAAAAATTCAAATTACACCCTTATGGTTTTATTAAATTAATTAAGTGTATAATTAAAGGAAAGTTAATAAATCCATAGTGATATGGTTTATATCAAATTAAATTAAAAGTGTAATTTATTAAATTAGACCACATAGTATTTTAAAAGTGTAAAATACACTTTTATACTATATATAAAATTAAAAGTCTAATATTATATATGTATAACTTAAATGCTAGTCTTACCGTTAGTAGGCCTCATTCACGAAGTCGGTCTATAAAATGGGGTATAAGGTTATGGCCTATAAAAGGGTCGTTTAATGGATGTCTACTCTCACCCACCGCTTGTTTGATTGGTGGAGGGTCGTTAGCCAAACGGGTAGGATAAGGCAAAACATTTCCATTAAAGGTATAATGAATTATAAAGTAACTAAATCTTTTTAAAAAATTCTCAATCTTAGTTACTTTAGGCAAAAGTGAATTTGATGCAATTCCATGAAATTACACTTTGTATCATTGCGAAGACGTTAGTGGAGCGTGTGTGGTTAATCGTCACACTAAATGGGCTCTAAGCAAAGGTGGAAAAGGGTGACTTGATGTTTGTCATAGATCGATGAAGCGTGTGTTGCTAACCGGCACGTCGATTAGGTGACTGTAACATTAGGGGGCCCATGTATATTTGCATGGTTATTCACACCTTGTGTTGTGATCCTCGGCATCCCAGTCATAAAACGAGGGGCATATCGAGATTTAAACATGAACTTGAAAACTTCGATGAGTCTCAAAGGATCCAAGAGTTTTCAATACATTTAGAACTTAATCTCTTTTTTGTTTTTCATGGTGGAAAATTAGTGAATCGTCATTCACTTACATTCAAATGTTCTGTAATTTTGATTATAGCATCCCTCTTCCAAATTGTAGAATATTGTGTTGGGTCCTAGCCTTAATATCTCATTTGGGTGTTTTATTAAGGACTCAATCAATCAAGTAACTTGAATTTTCTCCCGTTTTGTAGATGTCAAAGTATGAAAACTATGGTCTTCCCAAATCCCTTGGAACAAGCTTTCCACATGAAGATGATATTCCATGATTCGATCGAGGAATAAGAGATCATGCTTCACTTCCTCCACCTCCTCCTATTCTTCTTCCTAACCCACAAGTTCGAAGTATTGAAAATTTCAAGCTCACTCAACCCCTTTTGGCAAGTAAACATGAAGAAGGAAAGTCAGTGTGTACACACGTCTTAAAGATGAAGTCGCACATTGACAGGTTAAATTTTTTTAGGAGTTGTTGTATGTGAGAAGTTGGCTGTTGACTGGGTTCTTCAATCGCTTCCTGACTCATATAGTGAGTTCGTAAGAGAGTACTATATGATAAACCACGACGTAACCCTCATCGGTCTCACCTATTTGCTTGTTGTTGCTGAATCAGCAATGATATGGTGCACTGGAGAAGCAAAGTTGATTGGTAGATCTGCCTTCCAAACCTCCATGGACATAGGCAATGGCAACGAAAGGCATGCCATGGTCAAAAAGTTTGACCATAAGAGAAAGGAAAAATCTGAGGTAGTTCTGTGTGTTGTTCCAAAAGAGTTAATGTGCTTTTATTGCTTGTTGTTGCTGAATCAGCAATGATATGGTGCACTGGAGAAGCAAAGTTGATTGGTAGATCTGCCTTCCAAACCTCCATGGACATAGGCTATGGCAACAAAAGGCATGCCATGGTCAAAAAGTTTGACCATAAGAGAAAGGAAAAGTCTGAGGTAGTTCTGTGTGCTGTTCCGAAAGAGTCAATGTGCTTTTATTGCTAAGAGAAGGGGAATTGGAGATGAAGCTGCCCAGTCTACCTGAGAGATCTAAGAGATGGGAGAGTCAAGACGTATGGCTCTACTTCAGGTAAAATTCATTAACTAACTCTGTAAGTTCCTATTTTTTTTTATTCTTAATACATTATGTGATAAGATTACATTTTTTATGTTTTGTAGAATCGAAGAAAAGAGATGAAGCTTAAAGGAAGAAGTGAGTTGAGTCTGATCGCGAAGAAATGGATTTCGATCGCATGATTCGATGATCGGATTTTTGGAGCTGCTACTTTTAGAGTTATGATAGATTGCTTAGGAATATGTAATAGCGTAGTTTTCATTTGAATTGCATAGTAAGGAAAAGTTTTTTCCGCGCCTTTTA